AATACCTTCCAACGCCCAAGCAAATCAGTGCTACTTCCTTCCGATTTAGCTGCAGTCTCTCCGGTCAGAAGTGTCCCACCACACCCCCCCACCTGTCATCAACGGTACCCCCTCTTCTGGAGGCCTCCAGATCCCTTATCCTTCAGCTGCGGGCTCTACCCCACCATCTCAGTCCCAATTCCTCACTGTCTCGCCAGTCAGTTCATTTTCGGTGCCGTTATCTGCAGCTCGCTGGCCATCAACAGACCCAAACGGGTTCTCACCTGCATTGCCGCGGCAGTAGTGGCGGCTGCGACTTCCACTTCCGGTTTCCAAGTACCCCAATCAGAAACCTCGTAGTCGATCTTCCCACGCACTTCCGGTTCCTGTCGGGTGCCGAAGTCTCTGGGTCAGAGGTCAAAGGTGGAACGGCCTCCCGGGCCTCGGCTGGCGCGGGAGGGCAGTGATGGCTTCGGAACGCCCAGAGCCGGAGGTGAGGGGCCGGCGGCCGTAGTCTGGGCCCCGGGTTCCGAGGGGTGGGGCCGGCGGGCTGGCGCGGCTGTGGCCTCCAACGGGCCTGCGAGCGGCCGGTCTGTGTGGCCTTCGGAAGGAACCGGCGCAGCTCCGAAGGCACGACAATCTAACCTCCCCGCGGTCCAAAGTTACCCCGGGGGCTAGAAGAGAAACTTTCGCTTTGCCTTTACTAGTGCAATTTTATCCACTTCGCAACTTCTAGTGCTTTCGGGATTCTTTGTCCTAGTAGGGGTATGTTGATTTTCTGTTGCTGTTTCACTGGGCATCTCGGCGCTGGTGCCGGTTTCTGCATGTCTTCAAGCTTTGGGCTGTCATCAACAGCATGAATTAATTTAGTTCTGACACTCATGCTTTATGCAGAGGCAACTCTGGTTGGCGTGAAAGAACATTTGACTCGAAGGAAGAATTCATTCCAATAATATCCCTGCTGTTTTGCTACCCGTACAGCCTTGAGCAAGTTTTAACTACTCTGATCCTATACCTTTCTTTATAAAGTACCTATCTTATGTTGTGTGTTCTGAGAATCACGTGTATTAAACCAGAAAATGCATATGGATTTCCCATTAGGGGCTAAGGACCACACAAAGAACTTTATATAGACTGTCATTCAAACTTGTGCAGGGAAGGTGGCAATAATCCAGTTTCCTTTGCAGAAAAGGCATCTGAGAAGTGAGAGACGCTAAGTACCTTGCTCAAGTGATAACTCATCTGGGAAGTAGCAGAGCTTTAGTTAGTCGATCTGAGCCTGAAATCTCTGCAGTCTGGAAAGACCACCACCACCACTAGAAGAACCCATTATTACAAGAGAATTTACTAGTAGGTGGGGTGAGTGTGGAATGTACCTAATGATATACGTGATGGTCATTACTTCACAGAATGTTTACAGCATGCCTGGCACTGTTTGAAGCTCTTTACAAATATCAATTCATCCTTTCCTGTCTGTGAAGTTGATGCTGCTATTATCTCCATTTTTCAAATGGGGAGACTGAGGCACAGAGATATTCAGAGTAGCACAGCCTCACCAGTAGTAAGGGGTAGAGCCAGGACTTAAAAAAGCAAGGAGTAGGACTCCAGATTCTGTGTTCTCAATCATAGTTTTATAGCATAAATAATCAAAGTAATCACAGGATAGCAAATAATCAGTTCATTAGGGCTTAGTGTGATGAGTCTCAAATATGGTTATATGCCCTATTTAAAAGAATCACACGTGTTCACAGGGGTGGTAGGAAACACATCCATCAGAAATATCAATATTGAAAAAGAACCTGACTCAATTATGGATTGTGTTTCATTACGGATTAGAATGAGATACAATGGCGGGAAATTGTGGAGAAATACACTTTTTGTAGAAGAAAGATGAGGCTTTCTGCCCCAGCAAAGATTTAAAGCTCTGAAAAAAACCTCTATACAGGGTTGCTGTGAGTTGGGACCAAATTAGACGGCACTTAACAGCAACAACAACACAACATACTTTTTATTTTTAGATAGATAATCTAAAGCGTCACCATCCAGAAGAAATATTCAAGAAGTTCATGGAAAAATTCCATTATCTTTGTTTCATTTTTCCACCAACTTCTTAAAGCCTCCTTATATAATGTGTCACATAAGTAATTGTAATAGCGTAGTGGTTACGAATTGGGCTGCGAACCTTAGGGTCAGCAGTTTGAAATTACCAGCTGCTCCACAGGAGAAAGATGAGGCGTTCTGCTCCCGTAAAGATATACAGCCTCAGAAACCCTGTACAGGGTCGTTATGGGTCAGAACCGACTCAACAGCACTTAACAACAACAACACATAAAAGTAAACCGAAACAGGTCAAATTAATGTTAATATTATAATTTGTTTATCTCATTATTTCCAAAGTACCAATCCAACATGTAACAAATGGTAAAAAGTATGAGATATTTAACTTATTTTTTTTTTGTACTAAGTCTTTAAACCCAGTGTGTATTTAACACTTAAATCTCAGTTTGGAGTAGCCGAATTTCAAGCACTCAGTAGCCTTCAAGTTCTAGTCATTATGGTATTGAGCAGTGTAGGTGTAAAGTCACTTGGATTTTAGGCACACACTTCTGGGAGACTCATTCAGCCAGAAGTTAAACATTTGCTAAGTTCTTTGATTTGCGTGACTGAAATTTTTAGCTCAGGAAACTTGGGCAAGTTCACCTAGATAGAAAAGCAATTGAAGAGAGCTGTCCCTTGTCATAAGAAAGTGACTGATTTGTAGAAGTTGTTACAATCCCAAGAGAGGACGATTGGGCATAGTCAGACACATGCCCTACGTTTAGGAAATCATACATTCATCAAATACTTAAAATGTTTAATGAGCACTACTCTGCACTCAGAATTGTGCTAAGTTTCTGGGTGGATACAAAGCAATGTAAGACAGACATGGAACCTATCTTTATGAAGTAAACAAACATTGACTTATGATAATAAGTGCTGCAAAGGGCAAATACAGAATGAATAAGATTCTTTAGTTACTTTATTAAGAAGTCAATGTGAGGTGGATTAGGGAAGCCTTCTCAGAGGTATGACATTTTTAGTTGAGACTTGAAGTAAGAATTGAATATGGGAAGAGGCAGAGAACATTACAGGAAAGCGAACTTTGAAAATCCTGAGGTGAAGGTTTGGAATCTTCAGGGAACTGAGAGGAAGCAGCTGGTAATATGGAAGTACTGTGACTGAGAAGAAACTAAACCAACCCATTGTGACTGAGCCAGGTCCAATTTATAGTGAACTGCCCCATAGGGCTCCAAAAGCTGTAATCTTTATGGTGTGGCCCTATAGGAGAACTATTGGACTGTGAACCACAGGGTCAGCTGTTCAAACCCACCAGCTGCTCCTCGGAACCCCTGTTCAGGGTTGCTGTCCATTGGAATGGACTGAATGGCGCTTGCA